TCTCCCTCACCTGTCCGCCTCCTGCCTGTCTCAAAGTCCTGGGAAGGCCAGCTGCAGAGGCTCCTTCTAACTGGCCCCGGGGGGGGGTCTCGGAGGAAGCACCCCTCTTTTCCAGACTAAGGCACCCTAAAGGCTGGGAAGTCCCTGCATTTCTCGCCAGCGCACGCCGCCTACCAGCTAAGGACCCCCAAAGGGCAGAAAGGGTGAATCTCTGACCTTGCAGCCCCAGCCCCTAAACCCGACCTCCCCACGCCCCAAAGCACCCGCCCCCCGCCCCCGGGGAAGAAGGAGAGGAGAAGCTTCTCACCGTAGCGCTGCAGAAGGGAAGGTTAAGACTTTTTGGTTTTGACCAGCCCCTTCTCAACCAGACAGCGATAGAACTCCTGGATGTACGTGTAAACGCACTTCCAATCTGGTTCCCTCATCCGGACCATGTCTTCCACGTCCAGCAACTGCGGGCATTCTGCCTGTGTCCTGGGGGGGGGGAGGGGGGGGGGTGTGGGGGAGGGGGGGGAGGAGGGGGAAGAGGAAGCCAGTGATCACAGCCCGGACAAATTGGGGGGGGGGGGTGGGGAAGAGAGAAGAGAGAAAGAAAATCGGACAAAGAAAGAGAGAGAAGGAAAAAAAAAAAGAAAGAACACAAGATACATAAATACAGTTCACATTCTCGGTGACCAGACCCACAAGTGCAACTGGGGTGAGCAGGCATGGACTCTCCACCATGCAATACAAGCAGAGGAGGGGGGGATGTTGGGGTGCCGACGGGTTGGGGAGTGGGCTCATTCCTGAGCGAGATGCAGAAGAGAAGGGGGAGCGGAAGAGGCGACGGAAATCCAGGCGGGATGGCCAGGACAGACAGACAGACAAAAAAGACCAGAGCGGTGGACAGGAGCGAGGTGTTCTTTCGGGCCCTCTATATCAGGGGTCTCCAACCTGTGAGCCACAGACCACAACCGATCCGTGGCCTATTTGCCACCGGGCCACGTTAAGTTGCGGGGCGGTTGAGGCCACACTGGCGCGAGCGTCGCAGGCGCTCGGGGTCCCACTTGGGCGAGCAACGGTGCCCTGCCCCTCCCACAAAACAAACCCCCCACTTTCAGCCCCGCCTCCCGCCGCATTTAAAGGTTGGGAAACCCTGCTCTATATGGCAACATATAGAGAAGGGATGAGCGACTCGCTCGGCATGCCTCATCCTGAAACGGGCCTCTGCATGGCATGGAGTGCGCCAAGCCAAGAAAAAAAAAAGAAAAGAAAAACAAGAAAGAATTAGGGGAGAGGGGAGGAGGGCAAGGCAGAAGCTGCACAGGAGACCCCTGAGTTTGGGCCGTGGGAGAAGGGCTTGCTCGGGCTGGTGGTCCATGCCCCAGACCCACGGCGGGGAAGAGTAAGGCGGAGAATGCGCCACGCTGCAGTCCAAACAGCCGGTCCCTCTCGCCTGATTTCACCCAAACCCGAATGGATCAGGAGCCACAGGCAGCAGAGAGGGAGAGCTGAAGAGAGGAGAGTCAGGATCCACACACACACACACACACACACACACACACACACAAAACACACACACACAGAGTCCCAGATTGGTTCTGTAAGCGCCATTTTCCACAGGGCTGCTGGCAGGAAGTTTGAGAAAGGCCTTGGGAGAGGAAGCACCGGAAGAGACAGGCAGAAAACAGCAAAAAAAGAGAAAGGCAAAAAGAAAAAGAAAAAAGGAACGTTTCCCCATCCTGCCTTTCTCTGCGGGAGCAAAATCCCCCTGCCCCAGAAAGCCAGAGAAGCCCCCGCCGTGCCAGCTGCTCCATAGGTCAAACACGCTCTAGGCCCCCCCCCCCGCCCAAAGCTGCAATGGGAGCCCAGCCCGTGATGCCAATCTTAGACAGGGGTTGCAGCTGCTTTTCGCCCTTGGACAATGATGCCCGCCTTCCTCCACTGCCACCCCATGCTCAGCTCCAGGCAGCGATGCGCCCCCCCTCGGCTCCCCCCACCTGTCGTCCTTCAGGAACTTTCACAGGAGCCCCATTTCACGGAGGGGAAAAAACCACCCAGGGCAGAGGAAAGTAGGTGCCCTAAGGCAAAATGCCCGAAATTGTGCCATCTTCACCCCAGGGAGGCTCCTGGCTGCAGGAGTGGCAGCTGCAGGAGGGCAGGGAAACTGCCTAGATCCAACGTCCTGGGTAGGAAGCCAAGTCATCGGGTTGCTAGCTTCACAAATGCAACGATTCACTTAACAAGGGGTGGCAAGAAATGCTGTAGAACGGGGCAAGACTCCAATGTCTCGCTTGGCAAGATATACATTTTTGAGCTCAACTGTGGTTGTTAAGTCAAGGATTACCTGTATAGTTAAGGGCTGAAATCTCAGAAGCCCGGGGTCAGGGCTCTAGGTTGTCTTTCCCACAAGTAGCCAAACAAGAGGAAACAAGCCACCATTCTGCTTGGCTTACGACCCTTAACTTAAACCGTGGCTTAAAATGGCAATGGCTTTGGGGAAAAAGGGAGTTGAAACCCATCCTCAAAGTTTTGTAACCGTCGCACCAGGCCTGGAACCCGCACCGACTACAATTCAGGCGCGTGTCCACTGTCTCACATCTACGACAATTGCGGTGTCTTGTGGTTACCATTTTGTGATTGCAATTTGCAACCTGTTAACGCTCACAAGGTTATTGCAATTTGCAACCTTCCCAGCTGGCTTCATACAAAAAAAAAAATTTCAATGGAGGAAGCCTGGATTTGCTTAACTGTTGCGGTGAATAGTTAACTTATGGTTAAAAAACAAAAAAAATGCAAAATTGGGTTCGGTCGCGGGATGACTCATTTAAGGACTGCATCGCTTAGCGGCTGAAATTCCGGTTGTGGCGTAAGTTGAGAACTCTTCTGTAAAAGGAGGGAGGGTGTCTGCTTTTCTGATGTCCAGAAATGTTGAATTAGAGGAGTTTCAGAAAACTACAGATACCAATTCTGACCCCCTGCTAACCAAGCACAACTTCCAAAAACTTGCAGTGGGGTGGGGGTGTGGGGAAAAGGGGGGAATGACAGCTCTCTTTTCATTCCCCCAAACGGATCACATTCCTGTGTCTTTCCTAACTGGATCCCCACCACCCATTTTTTGGCCTGGCGGGCAGCTCTGGACCCTTGGCGAGTGAGTTGTGTGTGCTCTCAAAATGGCTGCCGTGGCAGAGTCCCTTTGATCAAGCTGCCTCAAATTTCTACCCTCACGAATCAACCGGGGACTTTGCGATGTCCCTGGGATCCATGGAGTGTGCTTTCCTTGTTTATTGTCTCTACGGGACGATTTAAGTCCAATTGGACTGCCCAGCTGCCAGGATATCGACGGCTTTTCGGGAGCCCCCGAATTGCCCGTCGTCTCGCCGCGACGTCATCTTCTTCCCCTCTTTTTTCCATCTTTCTGGGCTGCTGGACATGCTGCCCAGCCTTGCACCAACCTGTTGGGGTTCACCATCTTATTTTGCAAGGTGCCAGGAAGCTCTGGGGTGCCCTAGAGAAGCCCCCCCCCGACCCCTGGTCTGTGGATGGGCAGTGGGTCATGGCATGCCAGAAACTGGGCCGTGTAAACCAGGGAAGCCCCATCCGTGGGAGGCAGGCAGGAGGCGAAACCACGTTCCCTCCGGTCCACGAAAAAACCTCTCCCCACGGAACCGATCCCTGGTACCCAAAAAGTTTGGAGGGGGGGCTGCCCTAGAGGGCTGGGAATCTCAGGCTGGGCTTCTTTGGGTCAGGAGTCCAGAGCAATTCTGGGAGATTTGATGGACACTGCCATCTTCTGAGATGTTTTTCCAATAACCCAGCCTTGTGGTCTCCCATTCCGAATACCCATCGGCCCCTGACCTGCTTAGCCCTCTCAGAATCCTCCGAGGTCAGCTCAGTGCTGCCATCTGCTGGCCATGAAAGGAAGGGACCGTAGCTCTGGGGAGAATTACCTGGGTGACTTTCTACCACTCGTCCTTCCGTCCTTCCGAGGTGGGTAAAATGAGAAGACCCCAATTGTTTGGGGCAAGAGGCTGACTCTGTAAACCGCTTAGAGAGGGCTGGAAAACACCCTGAAGCGGTATATAAGTCAAAGTGCTTATTGCCTTCCCTCCGTCCCTTCCCTCCTGGTGGTTAGAATACAGTATTGCAGGCTAATTCCACCGACTGCCAGCAGTTCGATCCTGACCTGCTGAAGGTTGTTTCAGCCTTCCATCCTTCCGTAAAATTAGGACCCAGATTGTTGGGGGGGCAAGAGATTAACTCTGTAAACAGCTTAAAGAGAGGGCTGGAACGCACTGTGAAGCAATATTTAAGTCTAAGAGCTATTGCCTTCCTTCCTTCCCCCTTCCTTCCTTCTTTCCTTCTTTCCTCCCTTCCCATTAGTTAGAATGCAGTATTTATGGGCTAATTCTGCCAACTGGCAGCAGTTCGATCCTGACCAGCTCAAGGTTGACTCACCCTTCCGTCAAAATGAGGACCCAGATGGTTGGGGTTTGCGAGAGGCCGACTCTGTAAACCGCTTAGAGAGGGCTGGAAAGCACTGCGAAGCGGGATATAAGTCCAAGGGCTATTGCTATTGGGGTGGGCTAGGTAGGGGGGTCAGGAGCTCTTTTGGGAGCCAGCCAAGCTGACCAGAAAAGGCCCTGCCCCGCAGGGGGATACCTACTCAGCTGCGGAGAAGGCCATCTCAAAGTTGTGCCTCCGGTCCTGGGGCGAGAGTTGCGTGTAGTCAAAGGCCTCGGGGAAGAAGTTGTGGACGAGGGCGCAGAAGGCCATGCCGTCACTCCAGCTGGAGGAGAAGTTCTGGATGTCCACGTGCTGCCCGGGGGAGGGGGAGAGAGAGAGAGAAATCAGGGCGGTCAAGAACGAGAGGAACCGGGCCCAGGGAGGCCGCGGGAGACGGGCAGGGGCTCACCTCGTAGCCCCGTGTCTTGGCACGGCACCAGTCCAGGAGCATCTGCTTGATGGTGTTGGCGTTGGGGACCCCAAAGCTGGAGGAGCGCTGGATGGCCACCCGGGCCATCGCGGGGCTGGCGGGGCTGCAGAGAAGACAAAGCAGGCGTCTCGTAGCTGTTTGGGGGCCAGGCCGGCCGGCACAGGCACCTCCCAAAACGAGCGCCCTCCAAAGTTTTCCTTGGAGGTCGACCAGAGTGTTGGTGGCCCCAAAGTGTCACTCGGGAGGGAGGGAAGGAAGGAAGGAGGGGAGGAAGGAATGAGAGAAGGAAGGAAGGAAGCAGTGAGGGAGGAGCGAAAGAAGGAGAGGACAGGAAAGGCAAGAGAAGGGAAGGAAAAGAAAGGGAAGGAAAGGAAGAAAGGCAAGGGAAAGGGGAGGAAAGGGAAGGAAGGGAAGAAAAGAAAGGGAAATAAAGGGAACGAAAAGAAAGG